TAATATATAATTATACTATACTATAGATTAGAGTTTTAAAATTGTTTATTTGGTTAAACAGTTTTAACATATAAACTGGTTTCAAACTCTACAGGTTTAATTTCATTTAAAAAAAAAAACAGCACTTACTTTATATTTTACTTGTATATTAACATTAGTACATAACTTGATTAGAAAAATTTTAAAGTAAACATCTATTGTAATACAATATAAAATCACAAAACTTTATATTGATACACACTCTATAGTTCACGCCTATTATAATCATATCCTATTCTCAGGTTCAGAATTGGAAGCAATAAATGACCATGTGCAGTTTAGCTTCAGACATTACTATTACAGTATTACATAGTTATAAAGGAAAAAATATTCATTAAAGAGAGTTGTAACTCATAACTCTATCATTCTTCTATTATTCTTTGTTATCCTCCTATTTTATTAATCAATAGATTTATACTTCTACTCTATACTCGATTTAGATATAATCTATCATTAATTATAAAATGTAGTAATAATATATAATAGATTATTATAATAAATGTAATCATAGTCTATGTAATTATGATACAACATTTACATACTAACAAAAAACTGTAACATTTGTATTAAAAATTAAGGTTTTTTGGACCTTGCTACAGCAACTGTAAAACAAAATAAGTATATGCATTTCCAATATATTGTTTGAAATAGTGCTAATTCACTACTTTTATATATCTCTTAATAGCTGCAGCAGAATTTCAAATACTTTCGAACACTCAACTTCTTTCAGGATTATATGCTACAAGATCATGCTTTCGATTTACATTGTCAGTATCTAATAAACTACAAACTTGATCACTTAATATTTTATTATAAAAGGGGTTTTGTTTGTTAATCAAACTTCTATTTTTCACAACTAAGATGAACAGACCTTATGAGTTTTATGAAGGCCATGGGGACATGAAGTAATAAAGTAGCACTTGAATCAAGTAACAAAGGGAAAAAATACAAAGAGAAAAAAAAAGAAATCGAACACTGTACAATATCAGATTGTGTTATGTCAAAGTAAATTTGACTGTTGCAATAGTACTAATTATTATATTATATAATATTAAAACTGATTTTACATCCCTTGTTATTGTTTCTAATCAATAAAGTCAAGAAAAAAGCTAAAAGATTAAAAATGATTCATAAATTGCTATAATAACTAGCTTTCAATTAATAAACTCTTATGATTAAGCATCCAACCTAATTGGTAAATTTTGACATATATAAAAGCTATAAATCTAATTAGAAGAGCAGCATTGTTATTATTTATCTGAACATGTTTACACATTGTGGCCTCTCAGATTACAAATACTACATTTTTGCTTAATACTAGCTTCATCTTTTGAATTGCTAGATTTAACTAAATTCGAACAAGTACATGCATTATAGCCTTTCAAATTGCAAATGCTACATTTTTTACACTTTTTTTTTCCTCTGTGCTGCTACTAGCTTCTTCAATATTATTAAATAAAATTATTAGATTACAATAAACTAAAGCATTCAAATCACAATGCCAATATAATACTCTGTACTTAAACTATGATTACTATCACTATTATTCCTTATATTATCATTATATTGCATTTGAGAAATCTTTTTCTTTTTATTTTTACTCTTTATATTTGTATTATTATTAAAGCCTTCAATTCTTTTAGGTTTTCTGCCTTTTGTTTTAACGCTTATAGGATTACTTATAGTATAGGCAAACTTCTCAAGATTATTATGCTTAGTATGATCATTCTCTTTTACAAGTTCAAACTCTATTTCTTTTGTAAAATTTTCATGAATTTTATAAAGCTCTCCAGTTCTATTTGTTATAATTGCCAGGTTAAGTGTCTTTTTTATCATGCCAAATTCTCTTTCCCATTGATGTCTACATATCATTTCATGTTGAACTGGTTTACTAAAAACATGCTTTTCACGAATATTTTCTAAAGGTGAAAAATCCACTTGTGCAATATGTTCTGATACATTCAATTGCCTATTTAATCCTGCTACAATTGCTGGTTCAAGAAATACTGAAGCATTCTTGACTAATGTATCTAAATACCAATGTTGTAGTATAAGCCTGATATGAAATTTCATGACTTTTGAACAAAGCATTATCATAAAAAAATAACAGCATATAAGACCATGGTTTATTAATATTAGACATGTACAAAAATGTATATTATTTTCATAAAGCACAATAAAATATATGCTTTTTTGATCAATTGAAGAAATACATCAAAGTTCAAAAATCTTGGTTCAGTCAAAGCTATCAATTAGTTAATTTAATTCAATAATATTCATGTCAAACATGTCTTCAGAAAACATCCCTGTGGGCAATTCAGTGGTGACCTATAAAAAAAAAGTATGAATGCTAAAGCACTATATAATAAAAATATTATACTATTCTAATTGTACAATAATATAATTTTTACCTTTTGTTCAAGCTCATCTTCAAGATTAATCATATGACATCAGTAATGTATACTACAGTTAATTTTATTTCTCGAAGCTTTAAAATTGCTGGCATTAAAAAACACTGACATGATATGTCAACTGCATTAAAATATTTATTATAATATTGCTCTTCTCGGTTTACTGGAAGTTGACCTATAGTCTCATTAAGGTGTACAAATCAACTTTCTTTTTTTAACAATCTCTCAATACTTTGTTTAAGCTTTAAGATAGAAGATAGTCCATTTACACAATTCTTGATTTTAGCATTATAAAATTCAACATGTTGTGTGCTTTGCATACTGGCATTGAATGCACAGTATGTAAAGCACAATATCCAGGCCTTCCTACAATGATAGAGTTGGTGCTTCAAATAACTAGTGGCATCAGCATATTTTTGCAAAAATAAAGCCCATCTTGCCTCAAAAATCAACTCCATATAACTGTTATACACATGACAAAAATCTGCAAAAAAATCACTTCATTTTTTATGATATTTTTCTATAAAATGCTTTTCTAAGTTTTTTTGAATATGAAATAGGCAGAAGTGGTGTTTGGTCATTGGAAAAAAACTACTAGCTGCAGCAATCATCGCTGGGTCAGCGTCTGTATAAAGCAAATGTGGTGCCAAGTTACCAGTTGCCTTAAGGATACTTATGAATAACTATTCATAAGTATCTTTAGTTTCATCAGATACAATAGCAGCTGCTGCAAGATGAGAACAGTTATGATTATCCACAAGTATCACGAAACATAAGATCATTGAATGATGATTAGTTTTTGCTGTAAAATCTAGAAGAATAACATCATAAAAATGGGCTCACAATTGTTGCTGACTTGGGTTCATCTAGCAAAGCCTTATAAGATAATTGATCTTGCCTTCAAATTGAATGTCAATATGAAAAGTGGGATCCATCTGCTGCCTTTTCACAAGCTCAAGATACAAAAAGCCAGCATTACTTATTTCATCATTTTTGCATCAAATTGCTTAAATTTCATTGTATACATTACATTCATAAATATATTTATTTGGATATTTTGTTTGTAAAATCTTAATTATTGCACCAGCATGCACTCTACAAGTCACAAGAAATTTTATTTCTTTATACATTTCTGAACTAAGCTTTCGATAATGAGTTGTGATCATATTTATGTTGTTCACAAGCATATAATTATGATAGCCATCAATTTTAGATATATAAATTAAATTATCTTTCTTGCATCAGTATGCATTAACACGAAATGTGCAGCCAGTAGTATAGTAACCACTATCATGATCATTAAGAGTATGTGATTCTTTTCAAGATACATATGGTCAACCTTTCATATATTTATAAATACGGCACTGGGAAATCTCATCTTCTTTATCCTTTTTACTATGGGTAATTGTAAACGCAAATCCACATTCTAACTTATAGTTATCAAGCCAATTATCAATTTCTGTTCAGTCTTTAAAGCTCATGTCCAGTTTAATCAGATACTTTAGTTATATTCGACAAACCAATTACTTCATTTAAGGATGGATTTAAGGAATTTTCTGTATATCCTATAACTTCATCATTCCTAAGATTAGCAGTATTATGCCCTTGGAAAATTTTACTAGCATGATGATAGTCCTAAAAAACAAATTAATATTTATATTACCAACCATACTAAGTAAAATCATATTGACAGATAACGCTCAATTTATATACCGATTTAAATAAGGCATATTCCTAACCTATATTCATGCCAGAAATAATTTCAAGACCGCTGCCACTTTTATTATTAGCTTGTTCAAAAAAATCACCCAGGTTATTAGATCTGAATATATTGAAAGTTGATGTGTTATTAGAATCAAATATATTATTTAAAAAGGTCTTCAGATTATCAGACTTATACATATTGAAAAAATTCTCTAAGTCATCATAATCGAATGCATTAAAAAAATTATTTGTATTACCCAATTCAGCATTAAATAAATTTTTTGCATTGCCAAATTCATAAGTATTTTGTGTTGTACGAGTTTCAAACATGTCAAGTGGCTCAAGCATTTTGTGAAAAAAAATTTTGGTTATGAGAAAAAATAATGATCGAGTATGCTAAAGAACTATAAAAAAAAAACTTTTTTTTTAATTTACTAAACTACACCACTAGTGTTAGCATAATTTAATAAAATTAGATTATGTTATTATTCAAAAAATAAAAATGATGTAAACATTCTGATCTACTTTTCGATACTGATGTTGAACACCAGTGGTGTGATTTAGTAAATTCATATATTTATAATATTATAATTATATAATATTAATATAATTATTATATAATTATTATATTTAGTAAAAAATCAAGTTTTTGTAAAGTACTTTGTTCTATTATGCTTAACTTTTTTCTTAACTGCTCTTTCTTTGCTTTTTTTATTAACTCTTTTGTTAATCTTAATAGTGCAACCTTATTTGGATTTTGTTCTGTTAGCATGATGATAATTCTGTCTTTTCTATTAGGTATTATGTATGTTTTACCTACTTGTTTAAGAAATACCTTATTGTGTATGCTATTAATAGCCCAGTATGCTTTTTTGATATATGTTGTCATTAGACTGATACTACATCTTTCTAATATATTATATTTTTGCTTTAAGTTGTACACATGTATTTTTTGCTTAGTTTGCATATGACTAGTTTGTTTGCTTGTTTATGTTCTTGTGATCAAAACAGATCTGCAATATAGAGTTAATACCAATTTCTCAAAATTTTGTTTTCTACATATTTTCTTAAAGAAAAATTTTTGGGTTTTCTTGTTTCTCTTATTAGTCAGCTTATTTTTAGCTGCCTTTTCTTTTCTATACCTTTTCCAAATGCTCTTCTTTTTTACTTAGACCTATCAGAGTAGTCCAGATAGCTATTTTTGTATAAACTTGGTTTTTGCTTCTTGCCAAATTTGTGTTTAAGTAATCAGCTTGTAGTAGCAATATTATAAAGCATAAGCAAGCAACAATATTATATACAAATAATACAATATGAATTGCAAGCAGCAAAAAGCAATTGTTAAGAATTTTTAAAACTACAAAAAAGTTTTTTAAAACTAATAATATTAAAATAAATAAATTTAAATTAAAGCTTATAGTAATAAATACAAGAATTAAAGAAGAAGAAAAAGAAATTAACTTTGGTCAAAATAAAATAATAAAAGAACCAAAAACAAAATTATAAAATTATTAAAAATCTGGCTAAATAGCAAAATAAGAAAAATACTAGCTTACAAGAAAGTAAAAGAAATTATTAATCAAACAGTTAAAGACCTAAAATACAAAAAGATAACAATAAGTCAAGTTATATATATAATTAATACAATAATAATTTTTAAGCTAGAATATCTTTTGCAGCTAATAAAGATATCAAAAAAGATAATTAACAGAATATACTAACTGCTAATATGTTTGGCTAAACTTAAATGCAATATGATAAAAACATTAAGATTAGAAGGCAGTACTTTAAAATTATATCTAAACCTAATAGTAGATTTTTTTATATTTAATTTTATAAAAAATTTTATTAAGTAAACTAAATTAATAATTAAGTAAGTGTAGGTCCTATAGTTTAATAGTTAAGCTCCCATATTCCTATAGTTAAAGTCAATAGTTCAAGTCTGTCTAAAAGCAAAAATCTAAAAGGTTTTAGCTTTTGTAACTTATAAGGAGCCTGCAATTGAACATAAAACCTTATAGTCAAGTTTAAGTACAGTATATAACAGAAACAAGAATTTTTGAAAGGAGACTGACTTTGCAAAGTGTAGGCACTATGTGTGACAATAGCATTACAGAAAGTTCTATTATATAAAGTATTGTGCATATAAGTTATCTAAAGACAGGGCAGTATCAACATCTCTGCATCCAACTTGTAGAATACTTGATTGGAAAGATGATATTAAAGTAATATAAACTAAAATAGTAAGAGAAGTGGTGCATGCATAAAAGGCCTGTAGCAAAGAATTAGTCTTATCAAGATTAAAAACACTTTTGGCACTATAGAATAACTGAAAATAGAAGGTAGCTATATATATAGAGAAGTTAAAGCCTGTTCTATACATCTAAAGTTACCAAACCAGAGCTCTAATTATATCTATATGAGAGCCTATAGCAAAACAAATAGAACATATCAACAAAAATGCTGTATCAATCAAAGTTGGAATACTTAAATTGAAAGTAAACTTTGTGAACAAGCACAGGATGTCTATAAGAATGCAGATTTATACAGATATCTGTATAAGTCAGTGTATACAGAGAAATGCAAATTAGCATTAGATAATACAAACACAAAATAAGTCCTTATGCATTTAAGTAGAAAGCAGAATATTGGCAATAGCTAAAAGTGAATGAAGAATTTATTCCTAAAACATAGTTTTATCTATATCATAAAAGAAAGTACTTAAGAGGCAAGTTAGATGTACAATCTGTTTGAATGATCTTAAGACCAAGAAGGATTGCAAACTAGCAGCAGCAGCAGATGTCTGACTTACCAGTATTTGAATTGGAAAGTTATCAGCAGCAGCAGGGACCTGGCTTAAGGTATATGCTAGAAAAGCAGGCACTCTTTGTGCAAATTAAAGATGAAAGCTTATAAAGAGCAAATGATCTAGTAGACCAATTTGAAAGTTGTAAAAAATAAGTTATAAAATATAGAAGAAATATGCAGATTATCTAATATAATTAGTAATAAAACAAAAATCTAGGTTATGTGTGAGTAGGACATAATACAATACTCTGATAGGTTTAGATCACAGATAAAAATATCTGAGTTCTATGTCTAAATAGATATATAGTGATAGATAATATATAATAAAACTTGTACTAGCTATAATCAATATACTAATAAAGACTTAAGAGCATAATCTTACCTTAACATTAAATAATAATTAAGTAAAAGTTGTAAAGTAGATTTTTCTAATTCTAATAATAGTAAAATTATTAAAATTGGTTAAAAACTCATTAAGATATGAAATTTTAAAAACTAGAATATAAAATTATATAATAAAATTAACTTATAGATTTATGTAAATTAATCAATCAAATTCTGTATTTTTGTATTATCTAAGTAAATTTTAACTTATCTAAGTAAACTTTATTATATATACAAGTATATTTCTTTATAATAATACAATACTTCAAAATTTTATTATAATAAATAAATAATTTTATTTATAATATTATAAATTTTTTTTATTGATTAATTAAAAAATCAAAAAGTTTTATTAGTAACATATATCAATTTTAGATGAAAATTTTAATATACTATATATATATTATAAATTACTATATAAAAATGATCTATATGTCTTCTACTCTTAAATAATTGCATAATTGAACACAAAAACTTAAAAAATTGTAAATCACTAAATCAAGAAATAATAGCAAAACATATATGCAGTTTCTTTTCAAGACTTAACAAACAAGACAGTTTGGGTAATATAACAAAACTTAGAATAGTTAAGAATGCCAAAAAGCAGACATAACAGAGAACATTTAAAACTATAAAAGAAGATTAGAAAAGAAAAAATATTGAAAAAACAATTTAGTCTGCTAAACAATAGCTAAATTAAAAAATATAAATATAAGTATCAAAGCAGAAAAATGTCTATAGAAAGTATATAATTATAGCAAGAAAATAAAAAACATAATAAGAACAAAGATATAGATAATGAGCAGTTATAAAATAAATAAATAGAAGTTGTTATATATAAATTAGCTTATTAATATAAAAGGTAATAGCCTAATTATATAAAAACAACTTAAGAGTCTTTAAGGACTGTTATGCAAAAGAAAAAAAGCCAAGTAGTTTAGTAAAATAAAAAAAGATATTAGTAATACAAAAAAGTAGAATAATATACAACTATTATAAGATAAGTAGTTATAACATATAGGCATTAAAGATTAAGTAAACAAAAATGTCAAAAGACCAAAAAATAAAAAATAAATCATATATAAATCAAAACATAATCAGCAATTTAGCAAACTAACCAAAAAAAAGAAAGTGTTAGTTAAATATTGGCTAATATATAAAGAAAAAAATATTTATAGAAATAAACAAATACAAAAGTTATAAAGTTTAATTAGAACAGACAAATAACAAATATAAATAATGAATAAGACAAGACTATAGAATAAAAGTGATGTTAAAGTTACTAGTAAAGAAAAGCAATAATATGATCAATACAAAATTAGCACAGATATTAAAAAATAAAATAATAAAAAAATAAAAAAATAAAAAAATTTGATAGGACTAAAGCAAACATAAGTACTAGGAATAAAGTTAATTAAATACAAAAATTAAATAATATAATTACAGACTATTTAATAAAGATTCTAGTAAGAAACAAGAAGAAAACCAACATTTTCTATACAGATGATGCATTGTATAAAAAAAAAATAGTATAAAAAAATATATATTGACTAGATGCAAATAGAAAATGAAAGAGACTAAATAGAGAAAAAAACTGCATTAAAATTTGAGAAATAATCATTAGCAACAATAATAGAATTGGCAGTAATATAGGCAGCAATTTTTATAATATTAAAAAAAAATTAATATAGAAGTATATACAGATAGCATTGCAGCATTAAGAAAAATTAACAAAGCAACTTAAAATATAGAAGATAGAAAAATTTAAAGAAAAAAAATGCAATATAAATAATGAATATTGCAGATCTTATTAAGATCAAGAACATTAAAATAAAAATAATTAAAATTAAAAATATAGTAAAGACAAGTAAACTAACAAAGCAGACTTTCTTGCAAAGAAATGAGCAAAATATAAAGAAATAATATATATAGAAAAGATTAAATATAATAAAATTAAGTACTTTTTAGAACAGGAAAATAAAAAATTAATATACTAACAAGACTTTTCTAAAAGATAATAGCAAATGCTAGAATTGAAGTTAGTTAGAAAGAAATAAATCTAATCAAAATGCTAGAATTAGAAAAAAAAATACACTATATAATAGATCAAGTTTTTGAAAAGAAATAAACTAAACAAGAGAAGTTCATTGTAGCTT